TGTCCTAAATTCTAAAAAAAAATAAATAAATAAATAAAATAAAATAAAATATATGGTACAGAGTCTCACTACACAGCTCAGACTCAGTGAGTCTCCTGTTTTCAGCCTCCCCAGCGTTGCTGCTACAGGTGGGTGTCACCACACCCAGTCTCAATGGCCAGCACCTGCGTGGCAAGTAGTGCCGGGACTGCTTAGTCCACTGAGATATCTCATTGACCTTATATCAGCTTTTTGGGTGACAAATTTGTTAAGTCTTTAAAATCTATGATCTTGGCCAGTGGGACCCATTACTGATCCGAGCCCAGGCGCAGCGTGGGTGAGACCCTCTTCCACCCCTTTGAGACACCCCCCAACACTCCGAAGTACCACCCACACCCCACCCAGCGAGTAGGAATTTCGGCCGCATTCAGGGAACCCCCAGACCCAGTCCTAGCCCAGATCCAGTGAGTATATGGGAGAACTTCCTCTCCCCACTACTCCAACTTGTCCCCTCCAGGCTCAGCTCAGGCCTGGCATACAGGCTTGGGGTTTAACCCTGCAGCTGCAATCCCTGCAGAGAGTGTAGAGGATAGAATCACCCAGATACTGCAGGAGCAGAAAATCTTGCCAGAGGGGCAAAACAGGTTTACCCTTCAGGGCAGAAGCAGGAAGGAGCTGAGCACAGCAGCCAGACCCCAGCCAGGCACAGCTGGATAAATCCAAACTTTGTAAATCTGCACCTGAAACTTCAGTACGTGCTAAGGTTATAACTACAACGAAGATCTACAACAAAGGTCAGAAGACAGTGCTACACAAAATGACGAGAAGGAACAAAATGCAACCTCAGAACCCAAGCCCAACTGTAACAAGTGCAGAGGACACTAACACAGAACAAATTGCGAATCACACAGCTGAAAGCAATGAATCAACGGCTTCTCAAATAAAAAAAACAGCTGCAGAAAGATATAGAGGACCTCAGATTAGAAATAAAAAAAAAGAAATCCCTGAATTAATAACATCTGCAGTAAAGAATCAAATGCAGAAAAATATGGAGGAAACCCAATGCCCATCCAGAACAAGGGTGGAGGACATTAGCTCGGCTCAAATGCATGAATTAATAGGATCGATAGTAAATAAGCAACAGCAGAAAGACATAGAGGAACTCAAGCGCGATACTTTTCTGAAATAAAAAAGAATTCTCAGAACTCATAGCATCTGAAGTAAAGAAGCAACTACAGAAACATAGGGAGGAAACCCAATCTAAAAAAAACACTGCAGTAAAAGAATCAATAACTGCTTCTAAAGAAGACATTGATTAAAAAAAAAAAAAGAGAGAGATTAGAAAAATAACGGATTCCTTGAATGAGCAATACAGGAAAGAAATAGATCGCATGAAGCAGAGTCAAAGAGATATACAGGAACTTAAAAACTCCATTACAAGCTTGCAAAACGGTTTGAGTGAAAGTGAAGGCAGAGGTTCAGATCTTGAAGATGCTGGTGCAGCTAGTGAAAAGGTAAGAAAAGATCTCTTAAAAACAATGAGAATGCAGGAAAGAATAACCCATCACCTGCAAGATGATGCAAAGATGAACAATGTGACACTAACAGGCATCAATGAGAAAGAAGGAGTCAATACAAATGACATTAAAAAAATGTGGGCAGAAGTAATAGCAGAAAACTTCCCAAATATGAGGAAATAATGTGACATTCAGGTAACCGAAGCATACAGAATGCCAAGTAACCTCAACCC